GCATTCTGTGTGAATTAAGATATGTGGTGGAGACTTCTTAAAAAGCACGAAAAATTCTGCCTGATCTTGTTTTAGATTTGGCAACCGAGTTGTATTTTCTTCTCTAAAATGGGGGAGAGGGTGAGAACAGTGGTCAGTGTCCTGTGGCAATAACAATGAACAAGAAGTAATTAGCATCTCTCTCAGTTCTCTGTTTTTTCCCGTTTTATTCATTAGCATTTTGCTTTATGAAGATCTAATTCTGCTTAAAAATAGTTGTAAGGGGTCAGATCAATTTACTATCTTGCAATAAATTATTCCATCAGAACGACTGCCAGAAGATACCTGTGAGCTTGTTAACAATTCACCATCCCTGTATCCACTTCATAATAATTAAATTTTTTATCTTGTTTTTCATATTTTAATGATTTTTGCATAGAAGACTTGCTCCTAAGTGCTATGGATGAAATAGAAAGGGATTCTGTATTCTTTAAATGCCAAACTTCTGCTCTCTTCAAACTTGATTTCTGCTAAAAATAGTTACTAGGACCTGAAATCACTACCAACTCAAAAGAAAGCTCCTTGGAACTCCTTGCTCATTTCTTGCCCTTTACTTTCTCAAAGTTTTCTTAACTTCCTATCCAGCTAATAAGAAGGCATTTTGTGGTTTTTGGAATTGTATTTGTCTTTTTTTGTATTATTAGAATAAGCCTGGGAGAGTGATGGTCATTATTGCCCCAAGGAACTAGTCTGCATGTACAAGAGTGGGTTATGTTGCAAGCCTTTTTCAAGAGGGATTAGCAATTTTGAAGTTATTGTTGGATGCTAAACAATGCCCTAAAATATTTTATATAAGCAATAATAATGGAGAAATCTTGATTGTTTTTAAATCTTGCATCACCATTAGTTTACAGTTTTTAATTGCTTGACATCTTATAAGGTCTACTTAGCAATGAAATAAGCATGGAGAGACTTCTTTCTGCTTGAACACTTTGCGCTAAAAATGAGAAATGCTCTTGGAAATTATCCTTATAATGGTGTTGAGGTGGGAAGTTTTCAAGATTATAAAAAAATTTCTGGATTTCAGCTCTACTTTTGTAACTGTGAATATGAAATTTAATAAAAATCTTAAACATGACCTTCGTTTAGAGAACAGTTCTCTATTTTTTTTCTTTTTACAATATGTTTTCATTAATAACTGACTTTTACTTTGCTGTAGGTGTGTGTGTTGGAACAGAGCATGAGTTTGTTCAGAAAAAATTTAACAAAAAATAATATAAATTAACAGCAAGTTTTGATCAGTTATAAAAATATATATTCAACTCTGTACTTCCAATGCATTTCAGTATCTCCTAAATCTTTCCTGCATCAGACACTTTCCTTTCTTTCATTGCTTTTAGAAAGAAAGTTTGAAAAACTTATTTTTATTTTTCTTTGTTTAAAAGCTTTGTGATATTACAAGAAGGAGGCAGAAAAATGTCAAATAGACAATGATAGGTCTTATAAAATATAGATGGAGTGTTTACTTGGTTGTTTCCAGTTGGTCTAAAATTTTTGTTGGTAAGCTACACTTGAGATTGCCAGTTGCAATTGTATCCTCCCTGCCATCCTGTTTAAAAGTGAGACGGGGGAGGGTTTTCTTTTTAAAAAAAATTATACCTGCTTAGAAAGATGATAAAATAGATCTTAAACAGCTTGAACAACTACTGTGGAATTGAAAGTAATATTGGGAAAAACCATGACTGAATCTGAAAAGATTAGGATCTCAGACTGTGAAGGGTATGGATTCTTTATGTTCCTCAACTATTGTAAAATATAATTAGAGATATTGTTCAGGTGAAAATAAAATAATAAAAAGTATAAATGTCATGTTTTTAGAACTTAGTCATCCTTAAATTCTGCAAGTATTTGAATGAAGAGCCCCAAAACACTTCTAAAACTTATAGCTGATATCCTGAGAGATTTTCAAAGTCATTTTACTCAGTAAGGAAAGATGTATTCCCCCCCACATCAAGTATTTACTGTGTAACTGTGTATTGTCAAGGTATGTTTGGTCCTTCCAGCTGCTTTCAGTATAGCTTTGGCTTCCAGGTCTCAGCATATTTCAAATGGTGCTGTTTTGACAGTCTTTTTTCTGTCCCTGATAATAGGCTTTTTAAAAATTACCATGATTGTGCATGCCTGCATTATAGTGTGGGAATTCATATTGTATTGTCCTGGATATTTCGGATCTCAGAAAGCTATATCAGGTCACTTCTTCATCTGTTAACAGAATAATTAGTACTTAGAAATGTTTTTTCCCCTCTTTGCTTTTTCTGCAAGTGTAAAGTAGAACTTGTACATATGCAGTTATCTAAAGATTTAGTTGCTATATATTTTAGTGACCTGCAATGCTCCCCAAGACTGCACCTCACCTTTAGAAACTTAGGTCTCTCACTGGTATAATATATGCCTTGCATTATTGTGCATGAGAACGGCAGAATTTTGTGCCAAAGACAAACTTTGTTAATAGTTGTACTTTTTAGGTTTTTTTACGAAACTGCTTTCAAAATATGTTTTAGATTTGTACATTAGGTATTTTTTGGGACTACTGGGATATCCGGTTTGCATCTATAGCCTATGAAAAGCTGAGGATCTCCTTTGTTCATGGTTATAAAATGGAAAGAAAGAATATTCTAATATGAAGGATCCTTAAGGTAAAAGGCCATGCAAGTTACTTGTCTTTATGCAATTTATGCTTCTGAAGTATGTAGTAGAGTGTCAATTGAAATATAGCACAGCGTGAGAGACCATCTAGGAATTTATGAATGACTCAGTCTAGAAAGTGGCCTTTGCATTGTTGTTAAGTGGGATTCAGTTGCACAAGTGCAACTGTATTTGCCAGTGTCTTCAGCGTATTGATGTTTTCTGAGCATTATCCTTAATAGGCTACAGGTAGCCTACCTTTAGTCCACATTCTAGGAATTCTGAATTGTGCTATCTCATCCAGTAATGACATAGGAAGCATAAAAATGAATGAGCACACCTCATCAGCATGGTAAATTCTTTGGTCTTCTCAAAATTTTCAATCGTATATTGGACAGGAAAAATGATTAGATATTTGAAGGCCCCTATTACACTGGGGAAGATTTTACTGTTGCTTGTCTCCTCAGAAAGATGAAGCTGTACAGTGCAGGCAATACTGGCTAAAGGGGTCAGGTGCAGCTGATGTAGGGTACTATGTAGTGTTGTGTTTGTCATGTGGCTTTGTGACCCATAACTGTTGAAAAGTGACTGCAGTATGGAACTTAACCTTGTGCGGAACATAAGGTGTGGAAAACATCAAGGGTTTGGTCAGACAAATTGAATGCCAACACAAATACATCAGGTATGTGTCAGTGATATCATTACTCTTCGCTAACCAAAGTATGTCATGTTGGTTTTCACTACTTGGGATTAATTTCTCAGTTCTCCTTTGCATGGCTAACTGGACTTTTTTGTTTGTTTGTTTTGTTACTTGGCTCTGATTTATGTAGTGTTTGGACTCATGAGTATCCTGTGGGTTCTCCGTTTTATTTGGAAACATTACATTTTAAAATATAAAACAAAAGCTATCAACACATTTTGTTTGAAATGTTTCATATTTATAGTTCCCTAAAATTCTGTTTTCTTTATCTTCCCAGTCACATGGGAGCTTGGAGGGAACACACACACATCTCTAATGCCAGTGTTGCAGATTAAAAATAGTTTTCCTCCACCAAATGCTAACAGCTGGTTGGCTTTCTTTCCCTGCTGAAGATGCATCGTATAGTATTTTCATTTTCCTGCTGTTTCCAAATGTTAATGGATCAGACTCTGCAAGTTTTACTTTGTAAATTCTATTGCAATACTAATTACATTTTAACAGTATTTCTATGAGGCTTTTTACAACTCCAGTCAAGCACCTGTTTTTCCATCCTGCAAATAAATAAACAGAAAGTGGTTGAGGGAGATGCTTTGTGTTGATTTAAATGACGATCAGTGCTTCTGTAAGCCAAGTATTATTTGGGCAATATGAAGATGTAGTGGCACTCATGAGAACAGGTCTCTGATAAACCCCTAACCTTTGTTCCTTTCCTTTACTTGAAGTAATTCAGTGCAAATACTGTGGAAAATCTCTTGTCATATTGACATTAGGCAGCAATTGCCTATTGAAATCACTGTCAGCTTCGCTTTTCACTCAGTGATGGAAAATGTCTAAACATTGCATTTCAAGAAAGAAGACATTTATAGCAATATTTTTCAAAATAGCCGTTTTTGTAATGCTGTGAGTGAACATATTATATACAATGACAAGTTATTACTGAACTGAGTAGAATATCTTATAATAGCTCTTCTGCCTTTCCCCATCTTGAAGTACACAGCAAAACTGTCTGACCATATTAGAAGAAGTGAATCTGTTATTTTATTTGAAAATTCTTTCATAATATCTGGCACTTAGAGTGGTATTACCTTCATATACATGATCCATACTGTTTACATTTTGGCATAAAAGCTGAAGCAACTAGTGCAAGACATGGAGAGACATGAGAGTTAATAAAATAACAGATGGCAGTTATGTTCCTGTGGAAATAATTATATACTGCATTTTTAATTGCATAGAATCAATGTGTTGGTTTTGATTAATACAGTAGGCTTGCTGGTCATATGGAGATTAGTGTCTTGTATGGTATAAACCTGAAAGTTAGTTTGTTGTCATGTATTATGTGATATGATGGGGATCAATTTCGGGAATGCCTTAAAAATATGCTCTATACAAAACCCTTTCTACACTGATTGTACTAGATAGATTAATCCTGTTGCCATATGGAAATTGCATTGGGTATGCAAAAGAAAAATCTAGATAAGTGATAACTCATTTAATACTCTGTGGTTTGTGTTTATGGAAAACAGAATTCCTCAGGATCTTCTAAAGGAAAACAAGAGTGTGCCAAAGGTAATTTCAGTGTTGAGTGTTCACGGATGGTAAAATTATATTTAACAGATGTTTGTAATTTTTGCAGGTAATAGCTCTAGCAGATGCAGCAGAAGAAAATCAAGCCAACGTGTTCCAGGCATTCACAAAGTTGAAAAGTGCCACCCATCTGGTGATTATGCTGATTAGTTTGTGGCAGAAGCTCAGCACTGATCAAGTTGCTATTCTGGAAGCTACGTTTTTGCCATTAGCAGAAGATACACAAGAGCTGGTAAGAATCTGTAAGAGCTGCTTGAAAAATGCTCATTCATAGAGCTTTAAGCCCTTAAATTTACATATTTTCCCCTGTACTTTACCAAAGGCCGTCCTTTGAAGTGATTTAAGTAGCCTTGTTAAGTTCAATGTTTGATGTAAACTACACTGATTTCACAGGAAAGTAGAAAAGTAGGAGTGGGTTATAGAATGTTTCCTTAGAAGATATGGGTGATACCAGTTAAATTCTGCTTAACTTTTCCATAACAAGAGAATTAGGAGTGTCTCACACAAATTTAGCTGATTTTACCTTCAGTCCAATTGTTAGCACAAACAGAATACTGCCATTTTTTAAAGACTTTAATATAAATGCTATATAATAGACATGCGCACATTCCAATAGAAATATAAAATACAGACATGTACACCCAGTAAATACAGTGTATTTAATCTATTAAGCATTTGCCATACCTTGTCCTCAGTGTTTTTAGAATGATTTATATAATGGATGAAAGCTATCCAAAGAAAATACTGTGTATAGATAATGTCCTTGTATTTGCCAAACCATTTTCTACATAGTCCCACATTGTGTAGATATCTTGCAAATTCTGCTCTGTTTTACTGAGTGTGACCATGTGAGATTGTGTGCAGAATTTGGAGAATGGTTTGTGAAGAAAAATAAGGCTGTATTCTATCCATGCCTAATGTCCCCAGCTAAACACTGCTGTTCTCAACTTAATTAAGAGTTGATCCCCAGTTGGTTTCAAGTCGAGCTCTCTTACTGAATTCTACAATAAAGTACTTAACTATCGTTTGCCACAGTTAGAAGAGAAATAAATTCTGACATTAATACATCTCAACACTTTATTTTAGGCATCTGAACTATGTAGTGTACTTCATAACCTTTCACAAATGACTTCTAGGGAATAAAAAAATAAGAATTATTTTAAGTGCATACCATTTTTAAATGTCATGCTTTGCACAGGGTTTTGCAGTGTACAGTGAATCCAGATTTTTGTACATACCTGGAATACTTAGAATGATTTGTGGTCTTTTAGACAGCTTGAACTGGGTTTCAAGTGAATCTAGGATCATCTGCCGTTTCCACCTGGGGGGCAAAAAGCGTTTTGGCATTTTACATGGTATTGACTCATAGTAGGCAAAACCCCACAGTTCTACTGAGGTTTGTTTTGGATTTAGTCCTCATTTAAACTTGAAAAATCAAGCTTTGCAGCTGAGGAGTATGCATTCCCATGAATGGAATCGAAAGGAAGGTCCTATGAATCTCATAAAAACCCAAACAACCATTTTTTGCGTGACTCCTTTTTGTTTTGCCATCAGGAACTGCATTGCTTTGATTCATGTTTTGGTACAATATGGTAAAATTTGTTGCATATCCTATAATACAGGATATCGCTTCAGCATGTATCTTGGTGTGGTTTTAATATAGTAGTTAACAATATTCCATGTTAAAGCTGTAAGACTTCACATAAATATTGTAAGGATGTATATCCTACAGAGCAGTCAGGATGAAAAATGTAAACCAACAATAACTGGAGGTGGAAATGGAAATGAAACCTTTACAAAATACTGAATTATGTGCCATATTGAAGTTGTTATGGTACCACAGAAATCTGAATGTAATTTAAGGAGCTTAGGCAGGGAATGGGGAAATCTTCTGACATACCAATGCTATTTACAGACAGAAGCTCCTAGCGTGTGTTCAGGGTTTTCTTGCGAGCAGTCAAGTGGAACACTGGTGAAAGAAAGTGAAGAATCTCTGAAGAATTTTTATTTACTCTTCAAACAATTCTACACAATGGTTTGTTGTATTTTTATTTGGATGGAGTGTGTCAGAAGACAGTTTGGATGCAGTCTACATCTCCAGAACATTTTCTGCCTTGTGAGCATTAAACTATGGAAGTGTTTTTTTAATAAGAGGGAAATGTTTGGAATATACTGTTACCATAAAAAGAAATGCTTCTTTGACCATAACATCAACATTATTCTCATACATGCCATTTCATTTAGAACAGATTGTATCTTGTTTTCTAGACCTGGCAGTCAATTCAGTTAGGTATTTAGCAAATATGAAAGTGGCATTTTGTGTTCCCATTGCTGCAAAACTTTTGTCTAAGAACATGTAAAATTTGTGTTTTCTTGTCTACAAAGATATAGCAGAAGTAATACTGCAAACTTGCGTGTTTTTTGGAAATAAGAGGTATTTGGCATCATATTTCATTTCTGGCAGTAAACTTCTAACTAGCACCTAAATAGCATTGCTTTGACTAAACTGACTAAAAGGGCTGCTCCTGTTCAGTACCGGAAATACAAGGACCTTCTCCTTTTTTAGTGATCCTTTCATGAATTCTGCACAGCTGGAAAAGTATCACACCAGCAATTGAATGAGATCTCTCAGGTCTTGGTGGGATAAATGAGCTAATTCTTCTGCTAATGAAATGATTAAGAAAGTGATGACAAAACTGAATAAAAATTAATCGCATTTGCATGGAAGTTAGGTGCAGTTTTGTCCAATTCAAAGTATAAAAGCATATATTGTCACTATTTCAGAGCATAGTATTACAGCCACATGCAAACTATACTTTCAAATATATACTGTTTTTGAGTCCTGTGGTTTTTTATGTGTTGAAATATATGGTAGAAAAATATTTTAAGGTGCTTTTGGAGACAAAAGAATCCCTGATCATCATAACAGTGTTAATAATGTACCAGAGATTTTATCACACAGTGCACTTTTTTTCAGGAGAGTTGGTCACTGTTCTGTAAGACTAACATATTTGTTTTTAGCTTATAGCAGGGAGCGACAGCAATTTGAGGTACTATAAAGTCTGAAATAATAAAAAAAAATCATGAAAATGTTAAGGAGTGTTTTCCAGTGATTATACTTTACCAATCTGAATTTTCTGGATGGAAAAAGATATTTGAAAAATGCTGAGTTTGTGTTGTTTACAATAGGGAATCCATTTGGGAAAGGAGGGAATTTGTCCAGGCTAATTTAAAGGGTTCAAAGGGTTCATGCCGAAGGGGGTAGTTTTGATGTAATGGCTGCATGGTGTCTGGATTGACTGATGGCTCATATGTCTGATCATTAAGCTACAAATGCTTTTTTTGTTTAGGACATTACAAAGGGAAAAAATGTCGACACTAATATTCTAACTTTGAGACTGAGGGAGGGCCCTCGGTGGTATAACCATCAACAGCAACTTTACCAAAGAATAAATATTTTCATAGTTCTCGTGACGTTACCAAATAATGACATACAGGTGCTTCATTGCTCAGACTCATCCCTTTCTTGTCATAGTCCCATTTGTGACACTATAGTTAATAGTAATAGCTCTAGTAATGACATCGCAGAAGTACGTTTCCATCTCTCTTTATTTATGTTTGGAATTGTACAAACCAAGTAAATGCCTATATTAGATCTTAATTTTTTATTGAAGTTGTAATTTGGAAGAAAAATATGCCTGAGGATGAAATGCGTATTTTAAAGGACTCTATGATTTAGTGTAATTAACTTATACTAGGGACTATAAATTTACCACTTCATAGTGCTGATTAGATAAAGTTGAAACAATGAAAAGAAATGGTGTCAGAAGAAAATCGTTAAGTAAAAGTCATAGGAGTTACTATCAAAAGTGTCTGTACTTTTTGTAAGAAGATGATCTGAATGTAAATCATGAGAAAAAGAAAAGATTGTTTGGGAAAGACTAGGTAACCTGCTACGTTTTATGCATGATAACAGATGGGTTTTACTTAGAGTTCTTGAGTAATGTAGAAAGTACTCTTTCGTAGAAAGAATCCTTTACCAAGTTTTTCTCAAAATGAAAGGTAAGGTTATTTCTGTAATTCCAGCAGGCTTAATTCTGTCACAACTGATAGTAGCCAAATTTGTCTTTAAATTTCCTGTCGATGTTTAGTACTTTCAAAGCTTTGAACTAATAATTATGTCTTTGGCAAGAGTAATTTTTGTGAACCCTAATTCTTAGAATTTGTTGGAAATGGTCATTTTCACTAATTCTTGTGATTAATCCAACCCAGGTCTTAATCATGGTAAAATATATCTGGAATTAGGTTTTTGTGCCTTATCTTTTCTATACTCTGCTTGTTATTGTAACCACTTTTGAAATGTAAAGCTCCAACTGTCTACTAGACTGAAATATTTTAAAATAGGCTGAAATATTTCATATTTTCTTGTTTGCCATAGGCTGGTACAAATTATCTTTTGGTATTTTGTAAATACTTTAAAATTTTCTTAAACAAAACAAAAAACCCCACCCCAAGCCCAACAAACAAACAAAAAACCCCCAAACCAGTACAAGGCAGTGGGCAGTGATGACTGGTAACTTGGAACCAGTTTTCCATATAGCTTTATTCTTTATTTCTGCAAACAAATACATTATATTTATCCCCTCTCTTCTTCTTTCTAGGAAAAAAGTGAATAATATATCTGAGAATAAGTAGTTTTAGAGGGAGAAGCACATGAAATTTGTTGCCTTTTTTCCAGCAGGGAAAATTACTTTACATTAAATGACATTGACTATCTTTTTTAGAAGTCAAAATATAAATAACTCTTCCTCCTATTTGAATCGGGGCCATACAACAGAATCAATCAGAAAGATGCTTCACTGTACCAGAAGCGTCTAAGTCTAAAAGAAGTGGGGGGAAAAAAACTAGTGAGTTTTAAGTCTTTAGTCACCAAAGGAAAGGAAAGGAAGCTTTAAGCTTACCCAGTAAACCCCTTAATTTTTCAGTAGAATAGGTCAGTCAGCCTGAAGTTTAGCTTTGGTTCAGGGCACCCAAAGTTCCCAGTCAAGTGATGGGAAGAAGGTGAGGGAATGAGATTCCCACTCCTCCCTGGGCAGGGAGGAGTATGAAGGAGAAAGGTTTAAGTGGAGTAATGATGCCTTTGCTCAAGCATGTATGTGTGACCCAGCTGGAGAATAAGAGAAGAGCATGGTTCAAGTACCAGCCTTCTTTGATAGTATGTTTTGATAAGGA